TCCAGTCAATTTTACTCTGGCGACTGATATTTGCTTCCCCCCTTTTCAATGTTTTTTGCTTCTCTGCTTGGCGGGGGAGTGGCGATAGGGCGAGAACTCGGGCTGTTTCTAACAAAGCTTATCGTTAAGCACAGTTCCGGGTCGTGGGTCTATTTGTTTGAAATAGGGAAAAGATGCGGGCTAAGCTACACTTGAACACTTCCCAACACACTTACTAGTTAAGCTAAGAACTGGTGAACAATTTGCTACTTGACTTTTCGTTTTGTATACCGTATCGAATGCAGACTAGTGCTTGCTCACTATAAGAGGGCGCAATAATGTACTTTCTATACTCAGCTAATTTTGCATGCTCAGAGTGCTCAGTGGGTGTGCAGCCACGCGCACCCCGGCAGTCCCACTTGCCTCGTGTAGTAGTCTGTCGGGCGGGGGTAGCGGAAGGCGGGAGTCCTTTTAGAATGCACTCAGTGACTGTAGGCCTATGTTAACTTGACAGTGGCGTGTCTCCTTATAAAGACCTTGGATGAAGCATTACAGCCACTAATTAGGAGCTCAGGTTGCTTCAGACTTCCATTAGTAGTTCACCTTGAACTGCAGGCTAGGCCGGCTGACATGACCCCGATATTCACTCGTTCTAATTTTCAATATTCATTTTTCTTTCAGCTAAAGCAGCCCCTCTTGCGCTAACGGGTTCCTGAAGCCTCATTTTCTCCATCAGTTTTGGAATCCATGTCGGTGAGAAACGCTGACCTGGTGCTCTTGCTGCGACTACCTGACTTGACACTTCGGGTAGCCCTCTCGTAAACTGCTAATGAAGCAGGTGCTGCTCTACCCTCTGGTTTTTGCGAACCAAAGTTTCTTAATTTTTCGAGATACCGGTCTGTTGAGAGTCGCCTGCTTTAGCTCTCCTCGGTTTTCCCTAACTTTGCTGTTGAAGTTATCGTGGCATAAGCCGTCGAGTCAGCGCTTGTGTAAGTTCCAAACTGCAGTGATCCCTGCGGGTGGACGAACACTTCTAGATGGAATTGGCCACCACTGAAGTGCGCTTCCCTCAAATAAACATGCCTAAAGAACCGCTGGTTCCTTTTTATAGGGGAGTTACACAGGACGGTCCATCTCCAAAAGGCTAGTGAAATCGTCGGACAGTATTCCATTTATGGCCGCCGTAGTATTTTGGTCTGCCTTACCTCAACCAACGCAACCATCAAGACTTTAAAGGGTGACAAATTTTGCGCTTCCACAATCTGCAGACTTACTGCGTTCGCATTACCTTCCCAGCCGGCCTGGGCAGCCTGAAGCAGAGTTACCGATTTGACATAAGCTTCTTACCCGGCCTGGGCAGCCCAAACAGGCGTCGTGCCACAGCCTAGTTCCATCACCAGGAAAGTTTTCCCGCAGCCTGTTGGGTAAATCAGATCTTCAGATAGACAAATATTTCAATGGCAAAAACATAATTGTTACGCAGACATGTGAGACTCTGCTTTTTGGTGCTGTCCACCGTAGCGTTTCATCTAAGATCTTCGCTTCGAGATACTTAACTCTAGACCTAACGCTAATTGAAGGTTTCGAGAGGAGCTCCCTCCTTCCCCTTGTAGGCGCCCCTCACAGTTCCCTACGTGGGTATAAATGCGCTCGGTTGCACCCTTAAAGCACTCTAGGCCTTCACTGCTAGTTGTGTATAGCATGTAGCGCACACACACATCACTGTGGCTTACTGCATCTAGTTCACAGTACTCTACAATCGTCAAGATAGGCGAACAGACAAATCGAAAAGCCAATTGTTTACTAATGCTTAGAGCTAGCTATAATAAATGTAGCAGAAAGTGTTTACGTGTAGCTTTAACCCTCCCCAACTGGAGGTACGGCGCGGTGTCACTTGGTGTGTCAGTTCTCCAAACCCATGAACACTTGCAACCGGAAGAGGCAAGTTGCCTTTATCCTCACCCTTTGAGAGCACCGAAAGCTATCAGAAGCCAATGCTTTAAACTGGGCACACTTTGGGTGGCTTGGTCATTAGGGAAATGCAGCAATTTCTGGATACAGACGAGGGTTCACAAGAAGCCCTAGTTGCAACAGCAGCAGCGACAGTGACGGTCAAAGATACACGCGCGAGGCCAAAGCCAACACAGTGCCAGGAGTCTTTGATATTCGATGAACGCCCTCCAGGGCGACCTTCAAGTACCTGTTGTGTTGCAGCGTGTTCCCTTGCAGTCCCAGATGCCGTGTTACCGTGGAGAGCCTGCAGTCAGCAGTAGAAGCTACGACACCTGATCTTTAGTCTGTCTTGTTTCATGAGGAAAGCAAGCAAAGCAGTTTGCAGCGTATGGCACACACAAAAGCCTCACGACATTGTGGGCCCTGCCACTGCTGGCGCGCAGGCGGATACACCCGACGGGTGGTGCAGCAGGGGGGTTGCTACTCTGGGGGTTTCTGGAGACTGGTGGGTGTTGTAGCATCATGATCCCGCAAATTATAAGGAATCAGCTGCATCTGTGCAGGTTTTAACTCATACACTCCCATTTGGGTCTGTCATTAATGGGAGGCCCTCTGGGGTCCCCACAATTGAAGGGAAGGGCCCCGAGCCTACCAGCGTGTTGGAAAACTTTTGTTGTTGCTTCTAATACTTGTATAACTCTACGGTGCACGTATTTGTTCAGTGGTGGGATCGTGTAACGGACAAGCACTGCATCACCTCTCCTGGGGTGCAGCAGCAGCCGCAGCAGTGGCTGGAGCATTGTGGAAAGAGCTGTGGTCTGACCTCGAGCGTTGGCTGACGGACCGAAATCCTTTGTTGAACGTATTATCCTTCGCAGAGTCGTAACTCAAAGAAGGTCAGCGCTTGCTGCTGTTGCGCAGGCCGCTGTTTGCACTTGGGCAGGGAAGGCTAGGCCACCAGAGAGGTTCTTCGCCATGGCAAGGAAAGGGAAGGGCTCCCGCTGCGTGGAGGGGAATAGTGGACAGCAGAAACAGCAGCAGCAGCAGCCTGCCGATGCAGCAGGAGGTGGTGACAGCTACAGCACAGAAACTCACTCTTCCCCCCCCAACTCGAGGCCTGGCAGTGATTACAGTGGCAGACGTAGCAATAACCACACCAAGGATCTCCATGCCGGCAGCGGCAGGAGCTGTTGCGGCGGCAGTCAAGCTCAGGGAGACGCTGCACCCCTAGTGCTCCCCAGCAGCAGCAGCAACACCAGCAACTTCAGCGGATGCAACGGGATGCATAAGGAGCAACAGCATCTGGCGATCGTGGAGGTCCCCAGCTCCAGCGGCTGCTGTAGTGAGGCTGGCCAGATGATACACGAGGGGCCCCCTGAGCAGCCGAAGCCGCACGATACTACGTGTCTTCTTCCACCCCGCAGCAGTGGAGGTTGCTGTGGCACCAACCTTGGTCATTCACCTCCGTACGGCGAGCAGCACGTGCACCAGCAAGATGAGGTTGTTGCGATCTCTATAGTGGAGGGTGAGGGTGCTCCCGACCCAGAGGAAGCAGAGGTGCTGCGTAGACAGCAGGCCGTGGATACAGCAGCCGCAAGGGCCCGCCGCAAGCTGTTGCTGGCGTCAGGTGTCTGCTTGGTATTTATGGCCGTGGAGGTTGTAGCAGGGATCGCTGCCAACTCCCTGGCCTTGATGACGGATGCTTCGCATCTCCTCTCGGACCTGTGCGCCTTCCTAATAAGGTACAGGCACCTTTTTTTAGGCTTCGACAGTAGCAGACACACCAAATTCAGCCTGCATGTGTGCGCTGAGGAGACCCTTCCGTCATCGCGGTCGGCCCTTTGCACCTGAGTCGCCGCTTTCCTGCCCTGCCTTCAGCGCTCTCTCCTCCCCTGGCGTGGCAGCTTCTTGCACTGCATCTATTGCGTCTCGGTGCCCATCCATCACTCTCTCTCCACTACCTGGCCACGTGGTGGCATCCGTCTGCACGCTTGCTTCCCCTCTTACAACGAGAATAAATGCACGGTAGAAACACGCACAGCCTATTGTAAGGGTATTGTATGTGTGTGTTTGTTTTTATTTGCCGCAGTTTGTTTGCTTTGTGGGTATCACAACTGAAGGGAACCCTCTCCATGTCCTTTGGATACCACCGTGCAGAGATACTGGGCGCGCTTGTGTCTGTTTTGCTTATCTGGGGTGTAACGGCGGCACTGGTTGTCGCTGCCTTGCACCGTCTGGCTGCTCCTCAAAGGGTTGAAGGGGGCCTTATGCTGCTCACCGCCTCCATCGGGACCGCTGCGAATCTCTTCATGGCACACATTCTGCACATCCATTCGCACGGCATTGGCCATGTGCATACAACCCACACGGGAGGCAACGCAGAGGCAAGCGGTGCAGGCTGTTGCGGCAGCACTGACAACAGCAGCGAAGGGAGGCCTCTGCTGCCCATGCACACCAGTAACGGCTGCTGCGGAAACGGCCAGAACAGCAGCAGCAGCCGCCACGACACGCACGGCATGCACAATGCTGTGACGCGAGAGGCCTCGTCACAAGTAGAGGAAGGAGGAGGAGCAGCAGACTCTCTGCAGAAGCAGCAACAGGCACTCGCAGTAGCAGCAAAGGGCGATATGTACATTAGAATGGAGGACGACCCAGAGATACAGATAGAGAGCATGAACCTCCGAGCCGCCTATATCCACGCCTTAGGCGATCTGCTGCAGAATATCGGAGTTATGATCGCGTCCGCCATTATCTGGTAAACCTTTGAAGCCCGACATCCTAGCAGTTCCAATCAGGACAAGTATCAGCTTGCCGCCTTGGCAAAACGTACGCTGAGGGGAAGCTCTGGGTGTGCCCGACGCAAGGGGCCCTCATGCATGCATACGCTTGTGGTTACCAAAAGTAGAGCGTGTGCTGCTTTTGCGGTGCAGGTACAAGCCAGAATACTCGATAGCAGACCCCGCATGCACCCTGCTCTTTTCGGTCTTTGTTCTCCTCACCACCATTTCCATCATCCGTGAAGTCCGCAATCGGCTGTGCCCCTGCTGCTGTTGCTACCTACATTCGTGTGCAGTCCCTTTCTGTGGTGGCTGCGGTTTAGATTGCAGGCTATTGCGTCCTCCAGAGGCTCCAAACTTACAGTGTCGCTCTGCTCAGTGCACGAGGCTCTCTTGCCTCACAAGCACTGAAAGTAGCGGGCGGGCCTTAAACTCTGAAGCGCTGTTTCTTGGAATGGTCTCTGACGCTTTAAGAACACTTGTAAATAGGCCATTGTGTCAGTGTTGCTTCAGGCAGTGAACGTCTTGATGGAGGGAACCCCTCTGGGCTTGAATGTCGCGGTGCTGCAATCCGATTTGGTGTCTCTACGTGGCGTGGTGGAGGTACACGACCTCCACGTCTGGTCTATCTCAATCGGCCGGCCTGCACTTGCATGCCACCTCGTTGTCTGTAAGGCTCAGCTGCTGCTGTTGTGGATTCTGGTGCTGTTGAACGCAGTTGATAGTCTTGCTGCTGCCTCGACTGCGCTTTCGCGGTGTGTCTTGGACAAGAGCAGCATGAGTCTTCTTGCTTTTTCAGGTGACGAGGAAGCAGCACGTCGTGTTCTGAGGGCCGCAACGTTGCTCTGTCAACGCAAACATGGAATTCTCCATACCACCATTCAAGTAACTTGCTGCTGCCTCTAGTGGCGTCGTTGGTGTTTCTAGCTGTGCTCTGATAAGCCTCGGTTGCTATGTGCTGCTGCCGACGGAACTCTGCCTGTCGGTTCTGGCTGTGGCTTGCTGTGCTAGTTCACTCAAGTTTTCGAGTAGAGGTGTGGTGGTCAGCGCACCTGGGGCCGTTGTGTGCTTGCGTATGTGATGCCGTGCCTAACATTAGAGGAAAGGTTAAGCAGTACTCGATTTCCGTGTGCTCACCTTGTTAGCTATTTACTTGTAACAATCTCAAGAATGCAAAGCATTGAACGCCAGACGGCTATTGCTAAATTTCTTTTGGTGGCCCCACCGCCTTCCTGTTTTGCTGCAGACGGATTTCGCCTCGGATGCTTCTTGTTGCGACACGGAGGCGCACCAAAAATGCATGGAGCCTCTTACCAGAGCCGGCCTCTGACAACATATGCCCAGATTCACTCAGCATATGCTGTTGCGGCTATCGCTGCAGTGGATACTGCGTTATGTGAGGGCTGTTGGGTAGGAACAGCAGCAGTAATATTAGCAAGTGGGGCTTTAGACCCCGTGCCTTTCCCTCTTTCTCGAACCCCTGGTATAGGAAAATCGCTAGCAGCAGTTGCTGCGGTGCGTCCAGCTGCTGCTACTGCTGCGGGGGTGTGCTCGTCCTGAGCGGCTGCAACGGAGGACATGCACCGCTTCGCCTGATCCCTCAATACTGTGTGAAGCAGCACTTCGAGGCATCGTTAGAGCAATGTCTTGCGTTTGTAGCGGCCTTTTGCTGCTGTCTTTGCGACCTTCAGAAGCACCCTGCAACAATTTGCGGCTCCAGCATCAGTTGTTCGTTTGCTGCTATCTTTTCCTGCAGCATTGACATTTTGTCTGTTTTAATTAATCTCCAAAGACACCGGCCAAAGGCTTCCAGCTAGTTAGTTGCAGCAGAAGTGAGTTCGTAAAGAGCCACACAGTGTAACGCTTCTTCCAGGCTTTCCACAGGAAGGCACTCAACTCGAGACTCAATCCAACACAACACTTATTGGTTGACCCCAAAGGGGCTCCCCTCTTTACCTGCCCCCGCCTCTCAGGAATCCGGTATGACGAGGGACGAGCAGCTGGGGTGTTCGTAGCTGCGGCTTTAAAGCATTCCGAGAATTCACCGCTAGTTGGCCAAAGCATCTATGGCACACGCATACACTGTCTGACCGTATTGAGCTAACATTACTCAGCTATGCAGAGGATGTAAAACGGCTAAGCCAAACAGCCTGTTGTTTGCTGACATCTCACTAGAGAGAAGTGAAGTAGCCCGCCACACTCGGGAGCTATAAGAAAAGGAGGGGCGGACAAAGAGGCCCATGACGAATTCAGGGATACAGAAGAACTGTGGTGGTACAACGCAACCCTGCATTTACTCCTCTGTACAAGGCGAATCAATGTTTTCAGACTGAGACTACAAGGGGTCATTAAAAGGAAAGCACAGGAGTTGGAAACCCTTGTCTTCCTTCCATGTTGGAGTTTGATTTCATCTGTTTGCAGCTCAGCAACTTTAGAGCCCAGGAATGTGCTCCGGCCTTGGCAGTTCGCAGATACGCAATGCGAAGGAGTTTCACGAGGCCACCAGTGTTTGAGGGTCTCTCACTGCAAAGCTGCTCTTTTGTGAGCAGATGCATCATCGAAGCACGTGGGGTGGCTGCATGGTAAGTTCCTGTAACATAACGCTCACGAATAGTATTCTGAGGCTTGTTCGTGCTGCAAAGGCTAGGGCATGTATTGATCTATTTTGAGTAGACGCAAGTGTTGGTTTGTTTTTGCTTTGTGTGGTATCAGCAGATGTTTTTGAAAGCCCAACAGAGGCTAGCGATGCTCTTTTGACTCGCATGCGTCTGCAGACCTGAAACAACACCCTGCTCAGTGCTTGGGACTAGATGGCAAGCTATGTGGTAGTGGCCCGGGCAGCTGCATTGCCGAGAATTTTCCGATCCTATCTGTGGCGTTGCTCGTTATGCCGCCCAAGAGAGCAATCGATTCAGTAATTCTACTCTATACATGTATTGGCCTTTCGCGTTAGGCTTCGCTCACTGAGCCCTCATCATGGTGCGACCTAGCCCAGGTGGCGGCCTTTAGAGTGTTCAAATGAATCCTCTCTCCCTCGCTCGCTGTCCTCATGTCAGCAACTTTCAGGGACCCGGTGCAACGCTCGCCTTAGGGTCGTCAGAAGGCAGCCCTCGGAGTAAACGCCGCATCACCTCTGCGGAGATTTGCTATGGCTGTTTTTACCCAAGAGCTCCTCTCTCACTTCCCGCACCGCATTCGCTTCCAGTTAGTGGGAGGAAGAACATCAAAGTTGCAAGAAGCCGCACTGCTTCAGCACTTTGGGCCTTGGCCAGCAGCTGCAGTACGCCACTACGCGCAACCACTGCCATGTTGCACTTCGAAGCCAGCTCCGCTCTACAGGTAACGGAAGATGAACGCAGACAAGCTAGAGGTCTATAAGTAACAAAAGACTTTGTGGTGTACAGGTTGCTGCCTGCATGCGGCTGTCGGCGCGCGTCCAGTGGTCTTAGTGGCTGAAGAGCAAGCAAGATTGCATGTGAACTGTCGTCGCTAACAGCTTTCTTTAGTCATACAAGCAAACATATATATATAAAAACACATTCATGGCCCACCTTTCAAGCCGGGCACATAAATCTGACAGGATTTCCCTGAGGTGCTTGCGTACTCCCAGGGGCCCCCGTTCTGGGGGGCCCAGAGGGCCCATTCCCAGGGGCCTCCAGTTGGACGCCCAGTGTCCTGACAGAAAAACGCGGATATAGCGGAATAATATGTCGTTATTTTTGATTGTGGGCTTGAGCTACATGCTTTGATGGTTTTAACAGCTAGTGTACCACGTCAATAACACCTGTACTGCAACGGCCGCAGCCGCAGGAAGACTAGCAACGGAAGATCGAGACAACTCGATCCTCCTGACTATACTGAGCCAGAAGAATATGGATAACCCTCCCGTAGAAAGTAGCAAGTCAAACCCGAGACTGCTTACCCCAGAACCTACATGTAGAAGACAGCACACCCCAGTTTCAGATCTGGGGCCCAAGTTTATCTCCTTATCTGACAGGCTTGCAGAGATGCCCCCATCGCAGACAGTTTGTGCTTTGTCTGCAGACGAGGTACGGGTGCTGCTTGGAGTCACAGGCTCTGTTGCAGCGATAAAAGCAAAAGAAGTCATTGATGGCATTCACCGAGCAGCTTGCGAAAGGGGATTAAAAGCCCATGTACGCACGTACCTACTGCTTCTTCTGTTGTTGCTTCGCCCATTCCTGCTGTTGCTGCTGCGCTTGCTGCTGCCGTTGCTGCGGTTCCTGAGGCTGTTGCTATCTGCTGCTCTCTTTGCGATGCGATATGCACAGCGTAGCACGCACACTGTTGGTATATATATGCTGCTAATCACGCTGCCGCAGGTACAGTTGCTGGTAACAGAAAAGGGGCGTCGCTTTTTGCCCCCCAGCTTGCACCAAGAAGCTAAGGTTGACGATGACGAGTGGTCCTCCTGGAAAGAGCGCGGAGACGCTGTGCTGCACATTCAGGTCACTTGTTGTTGTTTGCTTACCCCTCTTCCTGCTAGCGCTGTAACCCTCACTAGTTCTGAATTCCGCTAAGGCCCTTATGTTGAGAGTAGGCCTGCCCCTGCGAGTCAAATTCGTTTGGTTCTCTTGTGTGCGGGGGGGAACAATGAAAAAGCAGCTCCGTCGCTGGGCAGATTTGTTTATTATTGCGCCCCTGAGTGCGAACTCGCTGGCCAAGATATCATGCGGCCTCTGCGACGACCTCCTGGTATCCTGCTGCTACTGCTGCTCCTGCGCTTCGGTTGTTGTTTCGCCTGCAGCAGCTTTTGTTGATGGAGGTGCTGCTGCAGCAGATGCGGCACCGCATCCTGTGGCAGTTTCTTGGGTGCAGCGCCTGGACCGCTTTGGCTGGTTATACACCTTCTTTGCTTCAGCGATAGAGCTGACCATGCATGCATGTGCGCATGTCTTTCCTGCCTCTCAGAGCTGCGTAGCTCGGGCCTGGTGCTACAACGCCAAGCCCCTCGTCGCTGCACCCGCGATGAATACCGAAATGTGGAGTCATCCGATTACATCCACACACATTGAAACGTTCAGAGGGTTTGGAGGGATTGTGCGCGGCTGTTGCGTTGCGGTTGCCTTCTGCCATGGAGATATTATATCGCTGCTCCTGCTGTTGCCCTGGAGCGCCTGCTGCTGGACGTGTTGCTGGTTACTGCACTGCGGTGGATGCGCGTGCTGCTGCTGCTGGCTTTCTCAATTTTCCTTTTGAGCTGTCATATATCTACGTGCTTTGAAACGCTGCTGTGGATGGGTGCCTCGACCTTTTTCGTCATCATCTGTGGGCCTCCCCCAGAGAATGCCTCTCGTTCGCTCCTCTTGCTGCTCTTTGTAGCGCAGCAGCAGCGACGTGGTGTGCAGCATCACAACCCTCTCTTTTGGCTTTTTTCTGTGAAACGTAGCCGCTTTGGAATCTGCACATCGTGCTTTGAATCTCGTATCCCTAATGCGCTTGTACACACTGCGCTTGTGTAGGTCGTCCAGCCGATATGTAAGCGCCTCATGTGTGGAGATACCGGTAGGTTTCGTTCGTTCTGCCTCGCACGGTGATTTCCGGTTATCCGCGCACTCTGCTGACTCAGAGGCTTCTCTGTGTGCCTCACTCATCCCTCCTCACCCTTTTACTCTCTTTCCCCAAGAGCCTCTCTTCCATTTACAGCCTCTCTTCTTGTTCTTTGCCTCCATTGGGTCATCCGTTCCTTTTTTGCCGACAACCTACACACTGCATCCTTACACGCGCTTTAGCAGCACCCACCTGCTGCTCTTGCTACAGGGATGGGCGCCATGGCAGAGCCTCACACAATTGCATCAGAGGCCTTTGACGCTTTGGCACTCTTTCCCCGTCGGCGCTGTGCAAGCGAGCAACAGCAGAACCAGCACCAGCAAGCACCTTCGCACGGGTAACAGCCAATAAGGGCTGCACAAATCCACACCCTCTTAAAAAGCAGGCTGTTTGCCATTGCCCCTGTAGGGCGGCAGCACTTCGATACAGCACCATACACCCAGAATGCCGCCGCTCTTGCTGCTTCTGCCGCAAGGGATGCGCGTACTTCTCTTGCGAGGGTTGCCCTTCCCAGTGCTGCCGCCAGGTCTTTCGCGGCTGCTGCCCCTGGCAATGGCCTCACAAAGCAGCAGTACAGCAGCGTTGCTGCGCAAGCTGCGGATGCGCCCGTAAATCCTTCCTGATTTCCCAAGAAGGAAACAGTGAAGAAGAAGCAGCAGCAAATGCGGCCCCATTCGGCTCTCGTTTCATTCTGCTCCAGTAGCAGAGGGGGCATCCGGCATGCCGAGTATCGCCTGGCCTATAGCCTCCCACTCCGTGTTTTTTTATCTACTTTCCGCAGTCCAAACAACACCGGTGAGTGCTGCTGTTGCAGCGGCATGGTACGCGACACGCGCAGTGCATAGAGTGACATACAAACAGTGATTTCTCAGGGTATTTGAAGGTAATCGCGCTGGCTTGCTGCAGAATCTACAGCGGGGAACCTAGCTGGCACCTAGATACATTGACTAGTAATTGGAACCGAGTCAGAAACAGGCTCCCGCCGACTCTGCGAACAGAGGCAGCAGAGCCGCTAGCAGTTGCATAAGCAACGGCCACAGCCGTAACGGCTGTGTGGGGATTTGAGAGACACTACATGAGCATCCGTTTTCTATCTACTTGGAGGTCGGGTCGCCAAACGAATTCAAAAAGTCCCTCCTTCGTATTGAACAGCCCTGCATGCAGCCACATTAACTTGAGAGTGAATCGGGGCCCTATCTCCTGCAACAATGCCCCAAGCTTTGGGTTGAGCGGCTGTTGCTGCTGCTGCTCCTCCTCCTCTAGTCCTTCCTTCTCTTGTTCCTGATGCTGCTGCAGTTGCGTCTGAGAGAGGTCTAGTGGAGGCCTTAATCTCTTTTTCTCCTTGAAGATATATCGGTGGTGCCGGAAGAAAATGAAGTCCCTTTGGTTATGAAGAGTAATCAAACGGCGTCCCGTGAACTGGGGAGTCTGCACGAACACGCAAACAACAGCAGCAGCAAAAGCAGTCGGACGGCCCTTCTAAGACGGCGCGAAGCAAAAGTGACTCAACATGAGCGTCCGAGAGCAGCCCCCCATCGAAGAGAAGGCAGGCGTGCGAAGAAGCGTACTACAGGAAAGAGGCTGCCCAGCAGCCTGGCAACGCGACGGCCAAGGGAGGTAACGAAGTTGTTAAGAAGCAGCTCCGGATTATGGGATGAAGAGCATCCACCATCTGGAAGGTCCTGGGCAAGAGTCACATTGGAAATCCTAAAGTAGCTGGTGGGGCCTTCTGCAGCAGGAAACTCCACACCACAGCATTTGATGGAGCGGGGGGGGCACTCTCTCTAGAAGGAAAGCTCAGCATCGGGTAAGCAGGCAACGTTGCTGAAACAGCCGCAGCGGACCGGGGAGGTGGCAGATATAAAGGCCGTCCGCTTGTCCTTTCTTCTCCTTGAAGAGCAACACTGCAGTGAAGCCCCCCGCTATTGCGGCGCTGCACACCGTTTTAACGGATGTTTGCAGGCGCTGCACGCAACACAGCTCGAGCCACTAAGCGCCGGACTGCAAACGTTCCATGGCGTGGACGATGCGAGCTCAACAACTGTCCCATAGGATGATAGACGCCATAATCTACACTGCTGCGGCACCCACATCTTCGATGTACATACTTTGTAATAATATGCGCCTGGAAGAATCAAGAGCATCTCCTTCAGGAAGTCGTGGAAACGCGCGGAGGGACGTCTGCATGTGAAGCACAAGCCGACAACTGCTTCAATGTGTGTTAGATGCAGGGGTTAAGCACTTGGTGTGCCCCTGGTGCTTTGCAATTGAAGCTGCGGCAGCCACTGATTGGTGACTACGAAACGACAGGGGCAGCGTGCGACAGTGGCAGCGTGCTTCCGGAGGAAATCAGATCGTCAGGGAACGCGCAATCTTGGAGAATAGAGGGCAACACACTTGCTAGTTGTAATAAAGAGCTTGGGAGTTTTCTCCCCCCTGAAGACAGGGGCGAACTCGTCAGCCTCCTCCGCCTCGGCCGCTTCTGCATCGTTGCCTGAAACTGTGCCAGCAGCAGCCGCAGCGCGAACAATATCACGTGCAACAGCAATATGCCTAAAAAGGGCGCCGACGCCAGCAATGAAAAGCGAGCTTTGCGCACACATTCCAGCTGCAATTCAATTTAAAAGAAAAGCAATACCCGCAGCACCCAATCAAGTTAACGGCGAAAACAGCCCAAATAGGGAGCACGGAGTAGAGAGCGCAGAGGCGGCTCTAATAATGCAAGCGCAGTGCCCTGTGTAGGCTGATGCAAGGGAGGAGGTGGATTTACACCACGAGCCCGTACCAACTGAATCGTCTGGCGCTCGCATGGACTCAATAGTCCTCGGAACCTGCTTTTCGACCGTCTCTCCCCGTTTCTCCCGTCGTTTTCTGTCCTTCCGTTTGGCGCTTTTCTCTTTCTTGTGATCTTGCTTCTGCTGCTGGCGAACCGCAGCACGCCGAGCCTTGTTGCGAATCTTGCTAGGGTCCACTGCTTTCAAGTCTTTCTTCTTCCCGCTGCCGTGGTCGCTAACCTTGCGCAGCTTCGGGGGAGCCGAGCCAGCATCGGGTGTGTCGCCTCCATCGTCTGCACCTGCGGAAGCTCGCTGTCTCTTCGCCATTGGCGCTGGATCCCGAACACCTAAGCCCCCAGCCCCCCTACGTGTACTTTAGCCTCCAGCGCTGTGGTTCGAACTTGAACACCAGTAGATACTTCTCCGCTTGAAAATATTTGCACTACGTCTCGAATCCCCCACTAGGAACCCTGAAGCCTTTCGCACGAGCAGAAGGGTCGCAGCTTGCAGCAACCAAATGCACATGCCCTAGGCCTAGGACTGGAACAAAAAAGGAATTGCGCGGGCGGCTTCCTGCTTCCGGCGTGGCACTTCCACGCGTATTAACAAGATAATGAATTATTCGCGCTGCAACACTGATGGTGTTGCTACTGCCGCTGCTGCTGCTGAATGCATGCATTCAGCAGCAGCAGCTCCGAGTGTCGAGAGTCCTTACATAGGAAGCCAAACCAGTCAAACACCACATAGAGGTGCCCTTTGCTTCCCTTTCCCCATTTAAAAGTCATTAATTAGCTTGGGGGACGGATTTTTAGTGTGAAGCAGTTACTCTACGGAGACCCCGGCTGGGCGAGACTCTCGAGACTCTATTGATGAATCGGCATACTGCCCTGCCCGGAAATCCACAGTTTTTCTCAGGAGCAACCTGTAGCTGGGAGTGTATTGTATGTTTTGCTTGGGCTGCTCATCCGCAGTGTGTGGGGATCAGAGTTTAGCATGTAGTGTGTAGTAGGCCTGTGAGATGCGAATGCGACCACAAGTTTTGTCGCTTCGCCAGTGGTTCTTCTGTCTCCTTTCGTTACTCCTGTGCAGCAGCTTGGAACCCGCAGAGGGTCCTTTTTTCTCCATACAGGGCCTCCAAGGCGGCGATGCTCTTACACTGAGGCGGCAGCGGCCGCACATGGCCGTTGCTAATGCGCCTCCTGCTGCTGGAGCAACAGGTACCAGTCGTGCTGCTCCTGTACGAACACCCTCAGTTTTTGAATTGCCATGGAGGCGTGGTACCAGCAGAATCGTCGAACGAGCTGCTGTGGAGGGGGGGGCGCAAAAGGGAGTCGGCATCAGCGGCTTGAATGGCTGCAAGGCCAAGCACCGCAGGCTCAAATGCGGGCTGCAGCTACTGGCTGCGCTGGTAGCGATAGCAGTGGCGGGATTCGCAAGAAAGAGATGCACTGACACTTCTGTTCGTGCGTCCGGTCCAAAATCAGTAGCCTCGCTAACACCGTCCAGTGCAACATCGCAAGCCCATCAGAAGAAGGCTCGGCAAGAGCTGCCGCAGCCATCACAGAAAAAGGAGAAAAAGCAGCAACAGAAGGACCCCTTGATCTCTGAAAGCCTCGAGCTTGCTGCCTCTGACTTTTCAGTCTCGCTGCAACTCGAGGTTAGCAGCAGCCTTAGTCTGCTGATTTCTTTTGCAGCCGCAGCAGCTGAGCACTGAGCTGCATTGAGCACCTCGTTTGAAGTGGTGCTGTGCCTTTTTCTGCTGCATGCAGGTGGCAGTCTCTCCCGCTGCTCAGCAGCAGATCGCCATGGCAGTACAGAGCACCCTCCAGCAGCAGCAGAAGGGAGGAGATGCTGCAGGGGTTGCGCCACTTGGCATCCTGTACGGGAGGAGGATACAGCAGGAACAAGAGCAGCAGGAGAGCACTAGCCGGAGGAAGGGGGTGTGTGGCATACATGATCGCACTAGCAGCAGGAGTCGCAACAGCCTCAAGACGGTGATCGTGGTGGATGCGATGCTGCTGCTTCCAAAAGGAACCCTCGTAAGGGCGAGCTATACATATCTATATCCATCGCTGCTGTTGCTGGGTTGTTGTTGGTTTTGTGTTGCTCTTGTTGGTGTTGTTTTGGTGCTGTCTTTGCTGCAGCAGTTCATCTGTCTGAGCAGCAGCCTGTGGGGGATCTCCTGTGCTTCTGATACTGCGAGTTCTGCTGATGCTCTTTGCTCCTGCTGTTTGCTGCACACGCCTCTCGTTGCAGTCGCCGACAGAGGATGTGGCAGCTGCAGATAAGCTCACTTGGCTCCTGGGGTTGCACCGAGTTGGATTTGTCAGCTTCTCTCCTCTGCGAGAGCAGCAGCAGCAGTCACAACAGCAAAAGCTGCAGCATAGCAGCATATTAAACAAATCGGTACATTGGCGGAACAGTGGAGCCTTCACATGGCAAGACCAGGTGAGCAGCATGCACAGGCAGCAAAGGCATGTGTATCTGTGAATCTTTTTCGTTTCGCTACCCCGTCTCTCCTTGAGCGCAGTCTGTCGCTCCCTGAAGTTGCCTTGTGCCCTCTCCGTTTTCACCTTTCTATATCATCTTGGAGCTGTTGCTGTTGCTCCTTTTGTTGCTGCTGCTGTTGATGTTGCTCCTGTTGTTCCTGCTGCTGCTGATGTTGCTCTTGTTGTTGTTGCTCTTGTTGTTGATATTGCACGCAGCAGAGAAATCCCTTACCATCGGAAGCATCGGAGGCATTCGCCCTTTTACTGCAACAACAACAACCACAGCAACCACAGCAACAACAACAGCAACAACAACAACCACAGCAACAACAACAGCAACACCAACCACAGCAACAACAGCAACAACAGCAACAACAACAGCAACACCAACCACAGCAACAACAGCAACAACAGCAACAACAGCAACAACAACAGCAACAACCACCACAGCAACAACAACAGCAACAACCACTACAGCAACAACAACTACAAAAGCAACAACAAGAGCAACAACAACATCAACAAGAGCAACAAGTGTGTCTATTTGTGCGTCTGGTAGATGGAATGAACTTTGAGCTGGTTGCGTGGGCTGCAACCCCTCCTGGACATGTGTTGCGCCAGCGGGGGCTATTGCTGCTGAATGTGAACGCCATTCATGGCGGGAAGCATACCAACGCGTGTAACAGGAGCAGCGGCAAGCTCAGTAGTCATGAAAAGGCTGGGAAACGAATCTCGCGCAGAGCTCATCAAGCGTGGCACCTACGGCCCCATGAAAGCGAGCAACACGCCGAAGCGGCAACTGAGCTAAATGTGGCGGCAGCAGATGGGGAGATTGCACTTTCAGAAGAAATCAAGATTGATGGTTATTCCATGCGGACGCTTCCACTGCGAGCTCTTGTGGACATGGTTCCGATTCGGCCTACACAGCACCAGCAGCACCGCAGCACCCAGACTCAGCAAGTGCAGCAGAAGCGCATCCACCAACAAGAGGCACCGTTCTTTCACGTCATCGAGCAGCAGCAACGGCTGGAGGGAGATGCAGCAGCGCATCCCGCACGTGATGGCTTCGCAGTGAGTCCCTCCAGTTCTTAGGGAGAAAGGAACCTGCAGTAACAGGGGCATCTGCTGCTTTGGGTAGTCACGCCAGCAGCCAGCTCTGCTGCCCCTCCAGCAGTTTTGTGCATGTGTTTCTCTGCTGGCTTGCAGCCGCAATGCGCGCTGCTGTCGTCTATCCGCATACTTTGTTTAGGCAGAAAGCAGCAGAACGAACCTCTCCGAGTGTCTTTTTGCCTCGCCTGCTCTCCCTGGCCTTCTATTCCTGCCTCAAGCTTCGGTTCCTTAATTGCGTTGACTTTGCTGCTGCAGCTACTGCAAAAGGCTTCAAACAACGAAGCGGCCCTGCTGCTGCTGCGTGACTTCGCGCTGTTGATGCATCTACAAAGACACTTGGCGAGGGAGAAGGACCTTGTGGCTCTTTGCAGCGCAGTCAAAGCGGCTGCAGCAAGTGGTGCGGCTTCTTGTCTAACTCCCAGTGACCGCTCCAGCAGCAGTAGCGGCCAGTCGCTTCCTGGGCCCCTTTTTCGTCTCCTGCAGCGAATTGTTGCTGCTGGAATGGCGTAGTCACTCTGAGTCACGCAGCACCACCGTTACTGAATGAGGGTGTGGCCGCACCAGGGGTGTGGCACCTCAGTGTTGTCAGCTGTTGCAGTCGAATGCGTTGTTGCTTGGATTGCCACCTCAATCTACGTTGTAACGGAGCGCACACGCAAGCTCGTGGTAAAGCAGCACACCCTGCAGTGTCACTATCTAAAGGCGTACAGCAGCATCTCTGCTTGTATCCTATTCGCGAATGGCGCGCCAGTTTTGTCGCGAGTGCACCTAAAACAGCTTGCATAGTGCAGCTGCTGTATCTGCAGCTAACGAACAGTTCCTTCCACTTATAAAAAGACATGGGAGAGTAATTCCCGTGGAAAGACATTGAAGCAGCCGCAACCGTAGTCGTTGCCGCTACTCCAGCTGGGTCTGCATCTTGTGGGGCGTACTTGCCGTTGCTGCTGCACTGCAGCATGCCGGCTGACTGGCGATGTTTGTTATGGCCACTTGATTTTGAACTCTGCAGCAGCAGTACACGCTGCAGTAGCAGCTGAAGTACTCGCTGCAGACGCAGGAGCCGCATAAGGGCACCTGCAGAGGTTTGTTCTGCTGCTATACGCATCAGCAATGTGGGTGCTGGAGAGCAGCGCGCACTGTTGCTGCAGGGCAGCAGGATACACATATACGCAACTGCTGCAATGGCAGCAGCGCTGGCTGCTGCCACAGCTGCAGTACAGTAAGGTGGGAACACACGCGCAGAGGGAAACTGGAACGGAGTTGAGCACAGCTGGGATTCCACGCACAGACAGCAAAGGGCATCCAGCGGGACGGAGAATGTAGAGGATCGTAAGAATGCGGCCCCCACTGCTCCTACACGGGCAGCAGTGGTAGTAGCAGCAAGGCCACGCCTACCCAGTCAAATCTCGTGGGAGGTTGCACTAGCCCAGCACAAAAATGCTGCTGCCGCTCTTGCTGCTATAGTGCAGGGGGATACAAAGTTTCGATGAGAGCTGCGCTAGTGCAGCAGGGGCATCCAGTTGCTCAAGATGCCCTGCTGCACGAAAGATGGGAGGTGTACACATATAAAAATAGGTATATATATGTATATATACATATCCTTGCCACTGCAATTAGAGGAAACGGCAGCAACTAGTGCTGCTGCAGCTGCCTATGTGTGCAACTCCTGCGCACTACTGGACCCCGCGAAACGTGAGCAACAGATGGCCATCTAAACCTAGCAGCACCAGCAACAGAGGCACTGTCTCTTGGCAGTACAACAGCGAGGCGCGCTCTGTTCTTGTTGCTGTGTTTGCCGCTGATGCTGATATGGCTAGTCTTGAAGGTCTTCTCACGCTGCGCCTGGAACAGCAGGCTACGAAAAAACTGCTGGTGTTGTGGACGACTCAGGGCCTCTTTTGTGTTGCTGCTCTTGCTTACGAGCCACCACGATGCCTTGAGGCGAGTGCCGATTGATAAGATACATTCGCTTCTGTTTCAGGGCAGGCCGTTCCTGCTGCTGCTGCTGCGGGAGGTCCAGTGGTGCTGTGGGTTGCGGCACCAAGCAGCACTAGATGAGCGTGCTGCAGGCTCTGGAGTTGCTGATGCCGCTGCTGCAGCTGTTGCTGATGCATCAGTCGATAACAACGCTGTTGTTGCTGTTCAATCTGCTGCTTTAAACGATGTTCCTGAAAGAGCTGTTGTCGTAAAAGCAGCTCTTGCTGCTGCTGCTCCTGCTGCATTTGTTCTGGTTCAGAAGTGCGTGGCGAGGAGGACGTCTGCAAGAGACCCTCGAAGGCTGCGCAGTTGGTGCTGCTATTGTTCTGCCTCAGCAGCAGTAAAAGCTGCTGCTGCTGCTGGATCGCGAGTCGCTGGTGCTGTAAGAGGTGCTGCTGCCGCTGGAGTCTTTGCTGCAGCAAGAGCTGCTGCTCTTGTAGCATGGAAAGAAATCGCTGTTCCCTCATTTTGTTGGTGCAAGGCACAGCGTCTCCCGGGAGAGCGGAGAACTGGTCAGGATGCTGTTGCACCTGCTGTTGTTGTTGTGTTGGCGGAGCTGCAGGTACACCAAAGCCGGGTCCAAGAAGACGCTGCTGCTGATGCGATGAAGGCGCATGTACTGCGTGCTGCTGCTGCTGCTGGCGTTGCTGCTGCGGTGCCCGCGTGCTCAGTTGGTGGCTCAGGAGTGCGTTGTGATTGCTGTTGCCTTCTGCCGGTGCTAGTGTTGGTGCTGCTGCTGCTCCGCAAGCAGTGGCAGCAGCCATCTGATGCTGTTGAGGCGAAGGGTAGCAGGCGGGGGAAGCTGGCGAAGCAGCTTCTGACGCACAGCATGTGCTGCCCGTCGCATGCCCCATGGAGGGCGAGAGGACTGAGCAACAGCTGCTGCTTCCGCTGCTGCAGGAGAGACACTGCTTTGCCGTTCCGATGGGTAGGCAGCAATTTCCGATGCTGGTCTTCTTTGCAACCGAGACGGCAGCGACTGCTGCAGCTGCTGCGTCTCTCGCAGTGTATACATACGGCAGCCCATCACAGGCTTCGGCAGCCCTCAAGCTGCTGCTGCTGCAGACTCCGTCTCCCCGCCTCTTCGTGGGAGCGCTCACGAGTTGATCATCATCCGAGAAAGTGCAGTCGGCAGAAGCAGCCACCTCGTCAAATGTCTGCAGCGCTTGCAAACGCGCCACGTCGCCACTCGCCTGGCACCGGAGGCTGCAAGAGTGAAGCAGGAGGGCTTGCTGCTGCTGCTGCAGGTGATGCTGCAGCTGCCGCTGCAGCTGCTGCTGCAGCTGCTGCTGCAGCTGCCGCTGGCTGCAGTGCTGGTGGTGACGCTGCTGTTGACGTTCGCGTTGGTCGGCTGGAGAGGAGTACGAGAAGCTCTCTACTGCCGTGTGCTGCATGCCGCTACTTACGCTCGAATACAGCTGCTGTTGTTGGGGCTGCAGCGGCTCTTGCTCCTCTTGCTTGGTCACTAAATATGGCCGCGCATGCATGCCGCATGTTGCTGATGCTACGGCAGCGGCCTGCTGCTTCTCTGGATAGGTGCTGTTGGTAATACTGCCGCCGTCATCGCTGCGCCATGCACCGCTCCTGCTGCTGAAGGGCTGAGACTGCATCTGTTGCTGCACAGGGCAGTCTCTTGAGAGTGGATGCTCGGCAGGCGACGCTTCACTGTTGATTCCTGCTGCTGCAGAGAACGCTGCTCTAGCTGCTGCTGCTGCCTCTGTGCTGTCACAGCTACTGGGTGTCTCGAAAGAGTCGCTAGAGCGGACCGCCTCAAAAGAGGACGAAGTGCTCTGATCTCCGAAACCGTTAGGCCAAGAGCAGCGACAAGTATCCATCTTGTTGTAAGCGTTGCACCGGCTGCAACTGCCCTCCTCCAAGGCACAGTTGTGTTGCTTCTGTGGATGATTGCCGTCATGGTTCTGGCAGCAGTCAGATACGGATGGTTCTTCGCACATGGCAACAGTTGCTGCTCCTGCTGTCTCGTGCTGCTGCTGCTCGCGCTGCAAATCCTCCACTGAGCGAATCGATCGAATTGCATCTGGGCCTGTATGTGGCTGCGGCAACTGCTGCAGCGGGCGGTTAAGTGCTGCCGCCAATACATTTGAGCGGTACCTATCATATTCCTCCGTAGAAACAAACAGCTGAAAGGATATCAGGGAGAGGAACTGGCCCTCTAGTAGGTTCAGCTCTGGTGTACGCACTCCACCGACCTTAGCATAATGCCGGTTGCTGTAGTAAACATCATCATAGAACTTCGCGGCCACAGCGACTGCGGAAAGCAACAGCCGGTGAATATTGAGCAACGAGACAGTAAATCCTGGATGTCTTTTCAGAATACGGTCGATGTAAACGAGGGCTAGCACGAAGCACTCATTGCTGCAGCCAAAGTAGCGCGCAACTCGCTGCAAGTAGGCTGATACCGTTATAGCGGGTGTCGATATGGCATGGAAGGTTGTTATGCTGCAGCAACCTGCGATACATTCGGGAAGGCACACAAAGACACGTGCAGATGCATGTGTCTTGCTCGAATTCTTCTCCTGCAAGCAGCCGCTACTCGTGCAAATGCTGCTGCTTGTGCCGTTCGTGTTGCCCTGAATTAGCCGATGCTTGTGGCGTGCATGCATGCGTATTATGCATGTATGTGCACGTGTGTGTATAGATACAGGCATGTGAGCGGCAGAGACGTACTGTTTGGCGATGCGGCTACGAGGTGCTCGAGTACAGCAGCAAGCGAAGAGATGAAGGCAGCCTCAGCGGGGGCAGCCTCTGCAAAGCGGTCGATGCTGTGGTTGTTACTGCTGCTGCTGCTGCTGCTGCTGTTGCTGTTCCTACGGTCAAAGGCCTCCGAGGGGCCCCCCAAAGCGACCGCGCCTCCAGCAGTTGTGACACTCATGATGGATGCCAGATTTTCCGTCCAGTAGTGTCCCCTTGCAGGGATACCCAGGCGTACAGCTATGGGTTCCGCTGCACTGGTAGCTGCAGCAGCAGCTGCAGCAGTTGCTGCAGCAGTTGCTGCAGCAGATGCTACCGCTGGACCAACGACACTAAAGAACCACACCACAGGTTGCTGCAGCGGCTCAGATACAGCTTAATGTGAGATTGCGCTGCTTTGCAACTCTTACTTGATAGATACAGCATGAGACACACAGAAACAAGCTTGATGCATTAGCAATTGTCGCTGTGTTGTCGGTGCTGGTGCTACGACACCCACACCCCTGCGTTCTCTATCCTCGTGCACCCGTATGTATGTGCCCCCTTTTCCTGTGCCTGCCGTTGCTGCTTCCCTGCCGCGAACACAGGTGTCGCTGCTATTCCTGCTGCCCCTTAATAATGTTAAACAATATCCGGGCAAATCCAGGAGCAGCAGATACCGCCCATAGAGCTGCTTTGCGGAACCGTGCAGCACCAGGATCAGCAGTGGCAGCAGCGCGACTTTACACCGGAGAAGCAGCAGCGGCAACAATTCTGCTGCAGTCCTCCAAGCGTGTCATGGCAAAGCAGCTGCTGCAACACGGCGAGAGGAAAAGACAGGAGTCTTGACGCCAGGGTGCGGCTGCTGCTGCTACCGCTGCCGCTGCTGCTCCCGCCTGGCGCCTGCTCCTGCTCCTGCTCCGGCGGCGTAGCCGCGACAGCAGCAAGGGCAACATGCTATGGCGCTGCTGCTACTGAGGGCTTTTTAATCGTTGAAAAACTAAAGAATTGGAGCGACAAATATTCGAGGGGGCGTATATAGAACAGTATGAGTAGATACAGCTACAAGAAGCAAGGGTAAGCAACTTGGTGGGCCCGATACCAGTGGCAGCAGCAGCACCAGCGGCAGAAAGCACCGACAGCTAGAGCCCCGGAGCTTTGGCTGATTACTGTGCTGGCGTTTGAATATATATACTTTAGCTAGCTAATCTAATTGCTGGTGGAAGTGTGCTTCTAGATAGCTGGAGTTAAGGCATTTGTATCGAGAATTCAAGTTGAACGGCGCCCTTGTTTGTCGGGCTCTCTCCCTCTTTTAGTGTGTCTCCAAAGCAGCATAGTGGTCTGCAACGAGGAATATGGGTCAAATGCTGAGGTGGCTCATAATGCATAACGCATCTGCTTTTACGAGGCCGCACGGAAACGCGGAGTGCACTAAAGAAACATCGGATCATTGCTTGTCTTGCCGCTTTGTATGAGGCGAGCGAGTTGACAGACTCATGCAGCTCTTAACGCTTGCAAGAGGAGATATGCTCATGTTTTTGGCAGCGGCTAAGGACAATCCTTCATAGTTTCTACAACCGGATGTTGCGCATGTGCGTGCAGCTTGGGGTCACTGGACTATCCTCGGAACATGCCTGAACCTAAGAGCTAGCCACCCACATGCTGTGAACTCAATAAATACTTGCTGTGTGCAACTTGCTGCAGACCCTCTAGGAGCACTTACTTCACAGGAGTCATGCTAGGGGCGTCAAGACACTTCTAGTAAGGGTCACTGGCCTTGTAGCGCTGTTTTGCGCGCTCAGCTGGACTAGCAATATCTTTTTCGGCGCATGCTACACTTCAACTCTTCGTTGGACTAGTGATATTTAACTAGACGTAGGGAGGAATTAGATCTGGTTTGTTTGTCGGTGTGCCTAACTTATTGCAGAAAAAGTATTACATTACCTGTGAGTTAGGACTTGTGGACAAGTAGCTGTGAAAGCGCAGAGCGCCTAGAGGATCCAAGTACACGCAACCTAGCTGCCATAATCTCCTAATTCCGGGAACCCTGAGGGGCGTGGGTAGGAGGAAGCAGAGAATTCTCTGGGAAGCACCTAGCGACTTCCTCAAAATCTTGTATTTGATCTGGGGCTAGCCGTCTCCTCGCGGAGGCCGTGAATAAACGCTATTTTTTACATAATCGCGAGGTTCGATGCAGCTGCTACCTGCCCTTTCACGGCCTGTGGATGCAATTGAGTGTCAGGCCTGCATGTACATTTTCTAGTTTCGACGAAGCTATTCGGTGATTCAATAATATGTTTTGTAAATCGACAGCAGTTCAAGTACACTCACCGGCGCTGAAAGCTGAAGGTGGCACAGCGCATGTGTGGGGGCCAGAGGCGTGCCTACAAGTTGGTGCGAGCACAGGAGCTGCCAACCGGTGAAAATAAATGATCTGTCAGCCGATAAAATGCTTGTGGATGCACCAATAAGGCAATGCTAACCAGAAGTGTACAGAGGTCCTGAGGATGGACATGAACTTGGGAATTTCATCGGCTTGTGATGTGCCTAGGCACCTGGCATTTTACCCCGCAAATAAAGAGAGACAAGTGATTTTTGTGGCATTTCTGTTGGAGAATCAAGCACATTAACGTTGGCTTGACTCGCCTGGATTGAGTCTCCTGCGAGTAGAGATAAAGTTACTTCAAGCCTTCGTACGAAACTTGACAGAATGGCCTCCCCCGACATATGCTCAGCAGCCACTTTAGAGAGAACTGATATAGTGAAGAAGCGAAGTTTATCAGTAGACCGGTTCATTGAGAAAATAAAGCTGTGGTTCGTCAGGGTGAGTCACAACATGCACTATAAGCTGCTCCATCAGTTATTTTTTCCGGGTCTTCCTAAAAGTAACGTTAGGTGGTCGCAGGATGACCACCCACTCCGTGTTCCTAGCCAGTGAAGAACCTGAGGCTTCCGGAGCCAGTGAGCGCGACTTCGAGTTCGTATATCAAAGCTGTCAACTGGCCCTAGCCTACAGTCTACGATGAGCAAGAAAAGAAAGCCAGATATAATCCAAGCTCCCCAGCTGCCACAAACAGCTCTCAAACAGCGCAACTGTTTTTATTGTGGAAGATTGAGCCATATAACCTGGGAAAACGCAGAAAGGCACAGATCTTTAGCAACGGGTTTGGGCCTAGCGGAAGCACGCTACTTTGCGAGCATAGAAGGCGCATCAGGAGATAAAACGTCTCGCAAACGGGCTAAATTGGATCTAGCTGCAGCTGGGGACCCAAAAAAAGGTGCGCGCAGAGGTACAGTCTGCCTGTTCAATCGCTATCACAGTCCCCAAGACTCAGGTTTGCTGACGGGCAACAGAGCAAAAGGATTGCCAAGGTTACGGTAGGTGAATGCCTCTTCAAATCGTAATTTGATTTTATGAGCATGGTCTGTGAGTTCTACGTTGGACCTAAGCACCAGACATAATCCTATAAAGGCCATGGCTGACCCGGTAGAAGACGCGCAGGCGTTCACAATTGCAAGCTTTGAAGGCTAGGGTTCCTCAAAGCGTCAGGAAAAGGCATTTTCTGGTCTAAAAAAAAATATGTTAGCTAGCATGTCTCGAGTAGGCTCGCTGCGTGAAGAAGGATAGTCAGAGGCCTAGTACAAGCGGCTCAGCAGCGCAGGTTGAGAGGGCCACTTGAGAATGCTTCCCTCGAATCGGCTTTCTAATGGATTTTGCAAAAATTCTACTGGAAGTACAATAGAGGAACAGCGGGAATAAACAAATCTAAAGGACTTTGCGGATCTGCTACACAATGACAAGCTGCCAGCAGGCTGGCCACCTGCTAGTCGTTCAGCGCACCGTGTTGAATTACTCTCTACGTCGGCCCCAAGCAATAGTTCATGGAATCAGAGGCTCTCACACCATGAGAGGAGATTGAGAGGCACCGGGATGATTTGTTGAAAAACCCAAGTGCAAGAATCGACCAGCACTTTTGGGCATAACCCCGATATTGGTGCGGAGGAAGGATGAGGGGTGGCGCATGGTAGTTGAATTCAAGACCCTGAAAAACCTTAATGCTAGGAAGAAGTTCTCGATGCTTCCTTGGTGAAATACTTGTCAAATTAAAGCGATCAACATTCTACTTCACACTTGACTCCACAGACCCCGTCTAACAAATACTTATTCGCTCTGATGGCGAGCACAAAACAAGCTCCACTAGCACTCGCAAACGCGAGTGCACCTGAATGCCTCTTGAACTTTTAAACGCCCAAGCTCATCTACAACTGTGAACTACTCGGGAATTTCGAGGGCTCAGCAAGGAGGGCTGGATGGCGATGTTCATGAGCGACGTTCCAACGTTCAGCTAGGGTGTTCAAGTCCAGCTATAGCACCTACGGCATGCGGTACAGCTGCTGCAGGGTAAGCAATGGTATGTGCAAGCACATAGCTGTCTGATACTATGAAAACATATGTGCTTGTGGAGTTTCGTGCTCTGCTTGCAAGAATTTAGCTATTTAGCGAAAACTGCGGCATCCAAGGCGTGACCTTTACCTTAGCGCACACGCAAAAGCATTAAAGCGGTTATGCACTTGCATATTGCTATCTAATTGTCATTTATTGGGCTTGGGCAGATCGCTGCTCGTTGAACTAATCTACTTTGAAACAACGCAGTCTGTAGCCTAAACAGCGGTGCGGAGGCGTATGCCGCCACAGGGATGCTTATCCGTCGCCTTCAAAACTCTGAAGTTTCACTGATTCTAGAAGAAAGATGCGTGACTTATATGCGTTCTACACCCATACAGTTGATAGTATTTTCAAATTACACAGTGGCAAAAGGATGAAACAATACCATGTTGAGGATGGCCTGCTGTTGTTCAAAACAAAATGGACACCTCGTCGAGTGTTCATTCCAGCTGTGGTCAACGGTGCCGCTATGCATAAGGCACATGATGATATTCTTTGGGGCCATGGTGGGATTGAGGTACACAAGAAAAGCTCTCATGTTCCTTCTGGTAGCCTGGAATGCATCACGCAGCAAAGCAATATGCTTTTTTTGCTACGGTTGAAAGCAGCCTAAGCCGCGCAAGTTTTCTAAAACCGGCCTTTTGCAAAGCCTTCTGCATCATAAGAGTATTTGGACTGATGTGGCCATGGAGTCCGTAGCTGGACTGCCGGAAGTCAAAGGGTCAAGATCGCGTCGACGACGCTGCTTACAGACTCAGCAAAGATGCTAATTTCTCCCGCGTTTTAGCTCTTTTATGGCTTCAGACGCGACTCAATCACTTTAATATCATGTGTGAAAGCTTTACAAATTTCGCGAAAGTATTATTGGGAATGGATTCAAAACTTGTTTGTTTGTCCTCGAGTGCCTTTGTGGCCCGCCTCCCAATTTAACACCATACGACCACTGTGAACCACACGAAGGGAGACTGAAATATAGAGTACACCGGCCGCACTCTTCTGTACTATTTGCAACTCTATGCTCATAAAAAACTCTGCTGCTTGGCTTGGTTCTGTTCCTTGTGCTGAGTGGGCTTATAATGCAACAAGTTATCTACCCACTATTCGCTGGCATCCCTGGTCTACGGTGGGAACCCCCTTTCTGATACAGACCCAGCGCTGCTGATTTGGTGTCAGCAGCCACCGGCAGCTACTTTTGGTAGCTGAAAGATCCAGAAAATAGCGGAGTGCTCCACGCAAATGTATGCGCGAAGTCAAGAGAGAAGGAATTCTTTTTACTGGCGGTCGGAGGTGTGTTTCTTTCCAGGAGATTTGGTTAAGGTGGATAGGCAGTTCAGGAGGGCACCAGAAAGAGAAGAGCTGATGAAAAGTGTGGCATTTGACTAGCACTCTGAAATTCTCCAAAAGTTCTCTTGCTTATTCTACCGGTTTGCGCCTAACTTTAAGGTGCCACACAAGCATCAAGATTGGCTTCCTGAAGAAATTCCCAAGACTTTCCTTATTTTTCGCAGACGTCGCTGTACATGTATGTGACCAGCGTGGAGGCGAAAGATACACAGGAAGCCGTGGAGGAGCTGGACTCTAGGGTCATTGGTCGCCTAGATGGAAAGGGGAGCATTTACGGGCTTTATTGCATGCGGGAGAATTTGTCGCTCTGTTTCGGCTTACAACGCTAGTCTCAATGAAAAATATTTCTTGCGTTGCTTGGTAATCATCTTTCCGCAGCTGTTATTCTACCTGAACCACCAGCCATCGTTTATGGGTTCTGCTAGAACCACTTTAAATTATTACTTTTACAGTATTTTCTACCCTCAGATTAATGTGCAGGGCCTTTGAGGTTTGTTGTTTTTACATTCTCCTATTGGCCTCTTCACTATTTCGAAAAGACTCTGCTGCATGCGCTGGCTCTCTCTGCACGTATACATTGATCTATGAGGCACACAGGCACTGCTAAACTAGAATTTACTCTGATTCACTATACGCACTCTACTCATGTTCTGTTTTCACCCATAACATGCCTCATACACTTTAATGCTCCGACAATAGCAAGCCACCGCGACGCCGCGGTTGGGTTGGCTTGATCCCTTGTTTGCTATTGTATGTCCTTTTCGCTTTCTAGTTTTTTTCCGAGCGGATGCTCATTTTGCTTTGTCATTCTGACTCTGTTGTGGGTCCACTGGGGGGTGATGATAGGGCTGGGACGCTTTCTCTGTCGTACACAGAGTTCGTCTGGACGAGCACGTACGGAACAAACGCACGTGTTTTTAGAATGGCTCAAAACAGATGAATCGGTATAAGCTACATTTAATTACTTTCTACTGCACTATTTATACTTGAATAAGGATCAGTTTAGATTTGAGTGATTGGTTGCAACTAAATATACCTGATTATTCGTTGAGCAGAGTTAGTTCGATAGAAGAAGATGCAATGAAGTGTGTGTGTACTCTGTCAAAGTAAACTAGTTGTGAATGTTCGCGGTTCATTACTTACTTATGCAGCTACGTGTACCCTAGACTCCCCTCCTTCCTCATGTCGGCAACTCTGACTGACGCTAGAAGGAGAAGGCTGTAGTTCTTTTGGAAAATACAACAGCATCGTTTTACATTTGTATTGAGTCTGGAGACATTTTTTTTCTCTACAAGGTCCCTGGAAGAGAAGGCATGTAACTTTCCATATAAGGCTCTACGTAGGGAAATATTCCACTCTAGACATGATGACTTAATATAATGTCAGTAGAAAGTTTTGAAGTCCTGCTGGAAAAATCCATCCCCCCTCCATGACACTCATTGCGGGTTTCGCCTTAACGAGGATCAGAGGCAGGTAGCTAGGCCCCTTGGGGGATGCTGCGCTTGTTGCACGTAGCAGGAGCGTGCAGTGACGAGCACACAGCATCGATTCTTATCATATTGAGCCCACTACCTGTACGCAACAAATTGCAAACACGAACAGCCAAACCATGGGACTGCTATTTTCCCGGTAACTCTTTGCTAATATACTGTGGATTAGAAATTGCTGAAGTGTAGTTTTGCCCGCTGCACTAGTGGTTTTCCCGCATGCAGTACCACAAGACGTAGTAGAGATATGCAGAACTAACTAAAATAGCGGCTTTTATCCACACTATCAAATTGGTGAATGTATGGTATTACTGCTCTTTGAGCCCACTAGGTACAGAATGAGCTTAGCGCCAAGCTAGGATTGTGATTGTGTATACTAGTTCCCGTGCGCTGCGTAGCAATCTGCATATAGATTTTGGGCGAAGGCGATAAGTGCTTTAAGGATGCAGCTTCTTAGTGGCCTGATGTTGTTACTTTTCTGGCCTGAAACCTTGTTAGGTTACTTTGAGCGCGGAGGTACAGTGGGCCGCGCTTAGCTACCCATAGGCACTGTCAACTGTACATATATCTTAGCTAAGAATTAATACAGAATTGGCTGCTTTGGGGGTTGGCTCTTTATATATGTTTTCCAATCCATGTTTTAGTGGCTTCCAACGCATATTCTAGACGAGGGAGCGCCACAAGGATGAGGCAATTTCTCAAGAGGAACAGGTGGAAGCCCTTCTCAGTGTAGACAAAGCTTTGAGGCTCGGCTTCTTTTTCTTGATATCGGGTCTGAGTGTGTCCCCCATATACATACGTTTTCCGAAGCCTTCAGCTCCTGCAAGATGGCAGGGCCACAAAAGGAGAGCTCTTTCTACTGTGTATTCGCATGAGTACAGCACTGGGAGAGAACACAGAAATAGTGAGCTCGTGTCTTTGCTGGACGGGTGGCCTTTTCTGCATGCCGACCAGCCTGTCTTCACCGAAGCAGGGCCCCATCTGCAGCTCGCCGCACATCCCGTGAGTCAGGGGTCGCAAAACAGGAAGAGTCGTTGATGCATTGCATGCAGGTCGCCTGATCCTTCGCAGCAAAACCCCGTACCTAAACACGCAGCAGCCAGTCTTCCCGGTCTGGTGGAGAAGGGTATTCAAAAATCTGTGAGGCTGCTCACATTGTGTCCGTCAACTTCCAAGCTTGGCCGTCTTCCTCTGAAGGGGTCACGTCCGAACACTGTGCACTTTGTCACACTTACCAGTCTTCTAAGGGCGAAGCGACTGGGCGGCTGAACTGTAATTTCCAACTACACGGACTTGCACCGCGCCTTGATGGTTCCCGACCACGGCAAGCCTTGGCCATAAGGCTGCCCTTGATTGCCTAAAGCTTGGCTTAGTGCTTTTCTACGTAGGGTAAGACCCAATTGCCGTATTGCTCATTCTGTCAGGCGGCTGCAGTCTCCCGCTGAGCTGGCAAACTATAGCAACAAGTAACGGCCGAGACAAGAACATTTATCCCAAAAGCAAACACTAAAAAATGAATTCCCCTTTGGTTTCTCGGGATTCTGAGAGGCGAAGATCGGACCTTAGTTTCAACAGGAAGCGGCATTTAGCCGCATGTCCGCAATGCTCTTTATTGAGCTAGCTACTTCTCTGGCTAGCCCCCCCAAACCCTACGGGCACTAATTTCGAGAAGGCCTGGTGAGACAGCCGCTACTCAGATAGCTAGCTGGAAGGCCTCCGGACGAAGGAAGAAATGTAAGGCTGGACACATAACGAAATAACAAAAACACTTTTTGCCAAGCGCTTCGAGGCCCAGCAACGCCTCCACTAGCAGCAGCAAAACATATGACAAGGCACTTTCTCTGATGGTCGCTCGCAGAATATCCTCTGGCGCACAAGCCTCCTAATGCCGCCGCATCTCCATCGGCATTCATTATTGCTTAGTGGGCATTGCTGTTGCTGCTGCTTCCGTGTTTCTGGCCCGTTTACCGCCGGAGCAGCAGCCGCACCAGTATCGTGCTGTGCAGAAGAGGATGTATTTCCTGCCGCTCATGCAGCATCTACGTTAAGGATTTCGTGCAGCGCCGATGTACCGATCAGTCTGCACCAGGGCCGCCATAAGCTGCCGCGCACGCCGGGAGACTAGGGGCCGTAGCATGCAGCGCAGCGGTCCCAGGCTATCTCTGGGGATTCGAAGACTTCCCGAAGTAATTCCAGCAGCAGTTACATTGACTGGCGGATCCCAGGGGGGCCCCTGGGAAGGCGCCCCGGGCGAAGGGCCTCCCCCTCTAAAGGCCCCTGCGCGGGTAATATCCTGGATCCACAAGTCCCTTACGTGCCCTAGGAGGCGTATCAGTGGCAGGACGGCAGCAGAACTGAGAACAGCCGGAGACAGCGAAGACGCGACATGCGCCAACAACGCTGCAGTGTCCTTATCAAGCAACGCTACAGTCGCTGCCGAGGTGCTCAGAGACAGCAGCGCAATAGCATTTTCCTCGGCAGAAGTACTGTGCTTGTTGTGCTTGCTGCCGCTGGCAGCGCCAGCCGAGCCTGCAGCCACCCCAGCAGCAGCTGCTGCTGCTGCTTTCGCGACGTGTACCGAAGTGGGGCTTCCTTTGGCGGGCTTTGCTTCTATGGCGTCTGCTGCTGCCAGCGCTGCCGTAAATATGCTATCTCTCCATGTAGGAGTCTTCCTTGAATCAGCAGCCGACGTCCCCATTCCAGCAACGGGTGCGGTGGAACCAGGCGGAGGCGGAGGAGGGGCAGCGAGAGTGCTGGACCCCTCCGCTTTGGCATAGGGTCCTACAGTGCATTCGCATATTCTGTTCATGTGCTTGCCTGCAGAAGCCGCTGCTGCTGCTGCTGCCAATCCCGCCGCTGTCGATACAATGGCTACGGGCAGTGGAGACGGTGCTCCAGGAATCTTTCGCAAGTGGCTTTGGTTTGCGATGGTGTCCGACACGTCAGAAGAGGCTGCTGGGGTCCCGGTACGGCGGAATGCCTCGTGCTCTTCGGGTAGCTGCTGCAGTTGCTGCAGTTGCTGCAGTTTCTGTTGGCGTCGCTGCTGTCGCTGCAGCTGCAGCTGCCGCTGCCGCTCTTTGTGTTGCAGCCACAGTTGACGCTTGTGTTCGAGGTCGTGGATTTGCTGCTGCCTGACAACCGTAACAGGGGGAAGCAATCGCGCCAGCTGACCATCAGAGGACAGAGCGAGGCCCCCCCAGCTGCCCCCGCAGGACGGGCAACGAGGCCTCCCAGGAAGAGGCGTCCACAGCATATCGGCTCCCGTGGGAGCATACAGTTGTTGCCAATCTGGAGCTGCACATCCCTGCTGCTTATCGGACGATGGCGGAGCTCCCTCTGTCTTGGTCTCGCGTAGTTGCTGATGCTCCGCGTTGAGTTGGTGCTCGCTGCACGGCGGCGTGCAGGCCCAGTAGTTCGTTGCTTTGTTGCAGAAATCCCGTATCCATGAAACTTCCTCCAGAGCTCCTGATGGGCTATTCAGGCTAGACGACGGAGCTTGTGAAGCGCCTCTGATGAGATGAGACCTATCCGAGGCTTCGCAGGGGTTCACAGATCCCTGACTCCCCGCCATAGTTGCCTCTCGAGGAGGTTCGGCTGTCTCGGCAGCAGCCGGAGACACTGAAGCTGCTGCTGCTTGCTGGTACGCAGCTTGAACCCGTGCAGCTTCCGCCAGCCGCGCGCCTTCCCTGTAGAGGGCTAGCCCCTCATCAACGTGCTGCAGCAATCGCTGCTGCTGCTGCTGCAGCTGCAGCCACCGTTGTTGCTGCCTTTGTTGCGCCTCGTATTGCCGTTCCAGGAGGATCTCCACGGCCTGTTGCCTGCGTTGCAGCGCCAGCTGGTTCCGCTGTCTCCGCTGCTGCAAAGCTCCTGAAGGCCTCAGCAGCACGCAACGAGGCCTACGGAGAGGGCCTTGCACAAGGCTCTCTGAAGGACCACAAGATGGTCTTCCCAGCAGCGGCTTGAGGCTCCACGCCAGGAATATCAGGGCAGCCTTGCATGCAGCAGCAACAGAACAGCCTGCTGCTGCTGCCTCTGACGAACGCCGTTTCGGAGGGCCCTCGATCTCACATAATCCCATTTGGATGTTTGCATCCTCTCCTTTCCCTGATGCAGGCAGTGCTACGGGCTTGGCTTCAGGCACTGCGCTGGTGGCTGTGACACTTGGCCGCTGCCTTTGCTTTTGCCTGAGAAACGACTTCCAAGCTCGGCGAGACATGAAGGGAAAGCCGAGGACCCACGCGCTTCTTAGCTGGCTCAAATGAATTTTCAAGGAGGGTTCTGTCACTGCACTGAGAAGCAGATCTGCCAAAAGAACGTTCTGTGCATTCTGCTGCACCTCTGTGCGCTGTTGCTGCACCTGCAAGTTGCTTCGCTGCTGCTGTTGTTGTTGCTGCTGTAGCAACTGCCTAAGCACTTGTCTGTACTTCCTGCTGTAGCTCTTCCACTCGTAGATGAGCTGCGCACTGACGGCTTCAACAACTGCGGGATCACGAACATCAGACTCCGCCCCTCGGGCGGTCCAGTGGGCAGGATTAGGCTCCATGCTGTTGCCGCTGACGCTGAGGCTGCTGCTGCTGCTGCCACTGTCAAGGTTAAGTCGCCTTGAAGCCGCCTCGATCCACCGAGCTGCCGCAGCAGCTGCTCTGCGGGATGCCGATAGACGGCTAAAGTTCACCATGGCTTGGAAGGCGCAGTCCTCCTCCCCGGGAAATCGCTGCATCGGGAAGGGCTGAGTGCTTGTGCAGCTAACGGAGACAATGCTGCAAAGCTGGAGATCTAAACAAACAACCGACAGGTTCGCGTCGGGAGGCACCACCTGCAATTCGCCAAGCTGTCCAAACGCTTGCTGTCGCTGCTGCAGCTGCTGCCGGTGCAACGCCAGGAGGTCCATGCGGAAGCTCCCGGAGGCACTTCTGTGGAAGGCTGCCGAGCGCACCTGTTCCTGCATCTCCTGATGCAGCAAAAGCTGCTGCTGCTGCACAGGCAGATGCCGCCAGAGCAACTCCTGGCTACCCCAAGGGGCTTCCGCTTGACCCCATGCCTGCTCGTGTTGCTGCAAAGGGTACTGTGGCCGCATCATCAGCAGGTGCTGCTGCTGCTGATGGTGCTCCTGCTGCAGCATGAATTCCACTTCTGGATCTTCTGCTGCATAGTACTCCTGCGCCCTGTGCGACTCCTGCTCAGGCTGCTCGGGATACATGTTTCTCCCCGCTGCAGCAAATCTACCCGTTTGAGCTAGGGAAGCGTCCCCCATCTCAGTGCTCGTGCTGCTCCTGTTGCTGTCGGTGCGCAGCAGCGAGCCTATGCTCTCTGCACACCTGAGCATTGCTCCACGGGCAGCTACAGGGAAGGGAAGATCCAGAATCAAGTAACGATCGGAGACAAAGTATGTGCTGTAGCTGCAGAGCGACCGCAGCAAAGGAGCAGCATCGGTCCAGAGACTCCACTGTCTGTCCACCCAGCGACACCACCCCGAGTCCATGTGCACCTCGCTGCTGCTATGAAAGCTGTTGCAGCTGCTGTGAAAGGTCGCAAGGCTCCCCTCACTGCTGCTGCGGTGGCTGCTGCCACTCCCACCACACCACGAGTCTACCCGGCGCCACTCGACACGCTCTGGACTATACGGAGGCTGCCGCTGCTCCTCTTGCTGGTACTGCACACCTTCACAGAAGATATCGTGGTCAGTAAGACGATCGCAGTTATACCAGGTATCGGTGTCACTGTCGTGTGGCACCTCCCCACGCTCTTGCTGCCGCGTCTGCTGAGGATCCAGTTGCACTATTGCAGTGGGACTGTCTTGAAGCATCACTGCGTTGGAAGGCGGATATCCGAAATACGCTTTGTTGACCGCTTGATCTTGGTGCTGCGGTTGTTGTTGTTGCTGCTGCTGCTGCAGCTGCAGGCGATACTGGTGTTGGTCTCGAGAGCTGCGCCTCCTACTGCCTCCCTCCTCAAAGGCTACGGTGGAGTGCCTTAGGTCCTCAGCAGCACTTGCTGCTGCTGCTCCAACATCAGCGAGGACTGCAGCAGCACCTGCCGCCTGCCTTGCTCTATCCTCGTCGTGCCTCTGTAGCGCTGACAGCCACGAGTGATTTTCTAAAGGTCGCGTTTGCTGCTGATTCTGTTGCCAGTGACTCTGATCGTGCTGTGTGCTCCAGGGCTTGTGCTGGGGTGAGTCAGGAGATTGCAGCGCTCCAGCGACAGCAGCTGCGGCTGTGGCTGGAGCAGAGCTATTGCGTCTTTCATAGGCTCCGTGGCTTCCTCCCGAAGGGTCAAGAGACACCCCTGGCAGCAGCCCCCCCTTTTGCGTATAGGATGACCGCCCAGCAAGATGCCTGGCAAACGCCAGCAGCAGGTGGCTATTCCAGTCGGCGTTTCGCCGCTGTTGATGTAGTGTGTGCTGCTGTACATGTTGTTGCTGATCCTTCCAGCCCTGCTGCAGCTGCATTTGCAGCTGCTGCTGAGTCGTGGGGGGTACGTGCCTGGCTCCTGCAGACTCCTGCGGTGTCTGTTGTTGCTGCTCGTGAGCGGGTGGCTGCGTTTGCAGCTGCAGTTGCTGCGACTTCCTCCTCAGTTTTTTCTTTCTTTTTCCTGCGTTTGACTTCTCTGACGCCTGAGGCTGCTCGGGCAAGTCTATCTGGTGCTGCAATTGGGGTCGCTGTTGATGCAAAGCACCGAAGCCGGGAGGGTGTCTGGGTGCTCCGGCAGCGGCTGCCGCGACGGCAGCAGCAGCGGCAGCTGCAGCAGCAGCGGCAGCAGGTGATACGCGTGCAAGCGTTGCTGGAGGGAAGGCTTCTTGTTGCAGTGCCGTGTCAGTCAAGGCAGCAGCAGCAGCTGCTACTGCTGCTCTTTGGGGGCCGGCGGACGGGGTGAAGAGGGACTGCTGCTCGTCTCTAAACATCTGCAAGCGTGTGTCTCTCAGGTGCTGCTGCTGCTCTCTCAGATGCTGCGGTATCGCCCTGCCATTATGCGTTCCTGGCTTGAGATTGAGTGCCCCTGAAGACAAAGACAGCGAAAGACACATCTAGGGGACTTACAAACACTTTTCCAGCTCTGGAAGACCTGTTGGAACAACTCACTTGGTTCCTCTGCTACTGCAGCACCAGCAACAACACCGACAGCGGCCCGTGCGGTAAGTGTGCGAGACGTATTTGCTGCAGCAGCATCACGGAGCGTCGCAATCCAATCGCGTATCGACCGCATTGCATGCGCTGTTTCGAGCGCCTTACAAAGCCCCAGGGCATCTCCACCGAACGCAGAGCTGTTAGACCCGCCTGCAACTGCTGCAGCGGCTGCTGCTGCTGCTGCTGCTACGGCGGCTGCGGCAGCCTCCGCTACGGTGTTATTGTGGGTGGTCCTTCCTCCAATGGACTGTGGCACTAAGGGTGCTTGGGGCCCCTGTCGTCTAGGAGGGACGGCAACGGGGGGGGCAGAAAGCGAGTCCTCCCACTCCAGAGAGTCGCGATACATCTGCTCTTCCTCTGGCGGGTACAAAGAGAGGTCTGAGATGTCCATACGCGCACTTTTAGAAAGATCAGAGTCGAAGCACTGCTGCAACAACAGTTTGCTGCTGCTGCTGCCGCCTGTTGTAAGTGAGCGGGCCCTTGGGGAAGGCAGCGTAGATCCCTGAACATTGCCGCGGTTCCACACGTCGTCCATCTGCGGCTGCCGCTGGTGCTGCAAAGAATTATCTGGCGAGGAGTGCGCGCGGCTCTCGGATGCCTTTGTTCCTGCTGCAGCTGCTGCTGCAGCTGCTGCCGTCTGCCACTGCATCCAAGGACCTAAGTGGCTGCTTAGAGCCGAGGTGGCCACACCAGAGCGTTGCTGCAGCTGCTGCTTTTGCTGGAAGTAAGACGGAATGGGCGCTGTTAGGGAAGAACACATGGAGCCTTGGGAGCACTGGCTCTCGCGCCACTCAAGCCTTCGCCGCTGCAGCTTTGCCTGTTGTGGCTGCTCTGGCGAGAGATCTGGTTGCCGTTGCTCCTTTTGGACGTCTTGGTGCGGCTGCGATGGTTGTGGCTCCGGCTGCTGTTGTCGCTGCAGCTGCTGCGGCTGTTGCTGTGCATCTTTGACTTGCAGCCAAGTGCCACTTCGAGGGAGGCCCCCAGGGTGGGGGGGCCCCCCGCCGCGGTGAGGCCCCCGCCTGTTACCCACTGCAGAGCGACCTTTTGCATTTAAAGGCCGCGGTTGCGGTAATGCACCTTCTGCTGACGCTACTGGTGCTGCTGATGGTGGTGCCCTTGCAGCTTCTTCAAACGCTGGTTTTGAGGCTCTCACCGGTGATGTGGTTGCTTCTCCCACCGTTCTTGCGCCCTCTGGTGCTCCTTTTGCCGCTGTGTCAGTAGCTTGGCTACCATGAGGTAGCGTAGAGGAATGCGCGTTTGCGTTCGTAGCTGACTGGATGTTCTTTTCTTCAGTATTCCTTAACCGGGGCTCTTTCCGTGGATGCTGCTGTTGTTGCTCGTGCCGCTCACGTCCTGCTGTGGAGGGGGGAAATCCTGGCTTCCCCAACAATACCGCATCTGGAGGGGCTGAATCGCTTTCTACTCTCAGCCTGGTCTGTGTATCTGAAAGTGGAAATGGTACTGCTGCTTTTGGTGCTATTGCGGCTGTTGTGCGGGCAACCAGTAGAGGCGAGCTACCCGCGATCGGTTGGATGTTGCAGGCGTGGTCTTGACTTGCCTCCTTTTGCTGCCCCTGCACCTGTTGTTTTTGCTGCTGTGATGGCGTTTGTTCGGGACGCTGTTTTCCGCGTGCAGAGCGTGCGGGGGAGGTTTTCCTCCAATGCTCTTTCAGAAGTTTTTGTTGCTGTGGTTGCTGCTGCTGCTGGTGTTGCTGACGCTGTTGCGCTGCTGCTGACCCTTCATCCGCCGTGCGCTCCTTATTTAGCACAAGCTTTGATACGGGTGCTGCTTCTGTGGCTGGTGGCACCTTTGCTGTTGCTGTGGAGGTAGCGGCTGGTTGCTGCACCTCCGGTCCTACTGATTGCTCCTCTTGTTGCAGCCGCTTTCGCCTAGGCGGCCCTCCACCTCGGCCTCTTCCTCTCCAGCGTCCTGTGCTGCTGCTACTACTGGATGAAGTGGCACCAACAGCGCTTGGTAATTCTTTCTGTGCGCCCAAGACTGTGCTTCCTGTTGCTGCGTTTATTCCCAATGCTCCTGGTGCAGCCGTTCGTGCTACAGCGGCTGCACCAGTTGCAGTTGACTCAGATGCACAAATTGAGAGCGTTGTGTGCATGGCGTTGGGGTCTTTGACCGCATTAGATCGCGAAGTGCTGGCAAGTGGTGCTGCACTTGTTGGGGAGGCCGCAAATGTTCCTCCTGCGGCTTGTTGCTGGCCTGTCGCAGCTCCCACTCCTGCATGCATTTGGCCCCCTGATGTTGCAGTAGTATTTCTGCCGGACGCCCGGCGTTGACGATGATTTTCTGGCATTAGTGGCACTAAAATCTTGTACTGCTAATGCCTCTTCTGGTGCTGTTGCTGCTGCTTCCTTCAGGCTGTTTCTAGGCTCCCGGTTGAAAACGTTCCTGGAGGGCTGCAATTCTCGCTGCTCCCCGCGTGATCGGCAGAAGCCAAGTCTGCAACAGCATCCTGCGCGTTTCTATTGAGTGTGTGCTCAGTATGCACTGGAGTGGCTTTCAGCTGCGTATGTGACGCGTAGGTTCAGCTGCTGTTGCAGCAGCAGCAGCTGCTGCTGCAACAGCAGCTCCAACAGACGTTGACCTATCAGCAAACCGCCGTCAGAATACTTCACTTGATGACGCCTTAGAACGCGATGTGGGCCTCCAGAGGGTGCGTGGTTTTAGGGGGGAGGCCTTGACGTCACTGATGCTGTGTCTGCCCCTGCCTGTGCGCCTGCTTTTTCTCTGCTGCCGTTGTTGCTATTGCATCCTGCTGTTGCTGCATAAGCCAACAGTCCAGCAAGGCAGTAAAGCTTTTCCTTTCTAAGGTCCCTTGGCTCTGGATATGGGGGGGCTCAGGCATACGACCTTGGATTTGATATCAGGACACAGGGCGGAGTTGCACGCAAGGACCACAGTTGTGTACCATGACACGGGCTAGAGGTAACAAGCCACGGCCAACAAGGCTTAGGCCAGAATTATGGGCTAGGGTGCGTCGTTCAACGAGTCAGCTGACAAACTGCGAGTTTTGGTGGGAATAACAGCCCGTGCTCGTTGCGGCGGTGAAGTAACAGAACCGTGACAGCACCCGCAGCAGAGTTGACGCTGAAGCGTAAAAAAGGTAACTGACCAACAAGCAGTGGATAATATCCCCAAACATTTCGTGTTCTGCTCCTTTGCTTACCCCACATTCCAAAACGCTCGCCGTCGACCGCGGAGCAGCAGCAGTAGCAGCAGCTGCTCGAACTGCTGTCCTTGGCTGTATCTGCCGTAGCAATTTGTGCCCATTATGAATTCTAATATGCTTTTAATACACCATTTAAAATAGCAGGTAAGGATATTTCAAGAACCCTCCTGAGTACCAACCCCAATTCCGAAACCTCTAAGCGTGAGCCTCAGGCTTTCTACTGGCAACTCCCAGGGGACCACCCCTCTCAATCACCCCCGCCAACCAGAGGGTTGCTCTTCTTCTATAAGCAATAGAAAGTGATGTTCTGATTTTTAAAGCTCTATTTTATTGTCCTGCGATTTATTTATGTTGCTTGATATTGTTATGCCATTCTTAATGTCGCTTCGCCTTCCGCTCCGCTCATGGTGCTGCTATTTGGTGACCCGTCGGGGGATACTTTGGGTAGCCAGCCTCTGCTTGTATCTGCTCCTCCCCCATCTAGCTACCCTATTGTACGCGTGTTACTGTGATTTGGACAAGCGAAAAACTTACATCCTTCATTGGGTTGCGCTCGTAGCAGCCAACTAGTATTGGGCACGCAGGTTCTGTTTCCTTTTAGCTTTATCTGTGTGCATATGCTCCGTTGGCGATGACAGCCAATGTCCTGGGGCTATTCGTGAGCGCTAATTCCAGTAGCAACGTCGTGCCCCTTTGAAATACCTCTCTGTTGCTGTCTACTCGCGTGTCTAAGCGCGCCAGTGCTGCTGTCTGCATGCCCCTCTACTCCGCGTCTTCTGTCACTATACTTTTATTTATCAGCCTCGTTCCTTCTGTCCCATTGTAAAGGTCGGCCCTTATATGCTGCAGCGTCGCGCTGCTGCTCCTTCCTGCATTCCCTACGGTGCCTTATCCGTAGACAAGCGCCCACATTTCCGCAAAGCATCGTGTTCCTCTTGGGGCCTCCAAAGGAGATCCCCAGCCCACAGAGTCTTACAAAAACATATGAGCAGCTCGTTAATGGCATAATATCTATAAAAAAGCGGCTCTCTTTTCTTTGCTTGGGGCGCGGCCAGATAGGGACTGTGGCACGACGGTGCAGCAGCCTCTGAACACTCGAGGATCCGCATGCAGGCACAATATATGTCTTCGTACGGTAGAACCCGGATTTTTCTATATGACAGGCACAATGTGAGAGCAGCCAAAACAGTATTTAAGCTCATCTCAGCTGCCGCTCGCGCCATCCGTGAGAAGTGCCAACATGTTGCTTCGACCAACACAGAAAGCAGCGAAGCGCGCAAGGCCATTAGGATCTTGAGTTTGAGTCACCAAAGACACTTTCAAGGGGAGCAAGCAGTCAAGGCATAGACTAGTTCTAGAGTGGACTAGGACGTGGGCTCCAGGGGTTAAGGCGAATAGCTCAATACGTACAACATATTAGCCGTACTGAGACCATGGATATTTTGAGTAAAGGATTGGGCAAACCTCCAACCTTAAGTTTTAGATCATATATCCTAGCCGCTGGAGCAGAATACCCGGTCACCCCCGTGATACCCATTGACTCACATGAAGACAAGCGACAATCTGGATTCCATCTCATCGTGAAGTCGTTGCTGATGACGCAGACAACAAGCTTATTTCCTGGGATGTAGCTATAGTGTTTGAAAGTGTTCTTCGGGAACCCGAACTGGGATCCACGGCCATGAGTGCAAAAATCTTGTACAGGAAGCTGGCACTTTAGAGGGGACACCGGCAAATCTGGCACATGAACTAAACTTTCTAGTAATAGTGCTGATAGGGGCCTCAAACGCAGAGAAGTTCAGGGCTCAGAGTTAACGCTATCAGCAAAGGCACGTGATCTGCAGCAACTGGCAGAGGCTGTATCATCAGCAGCACCATTACGACGGCATACAGAAATAGTCGTTGTACTCATCCCCAATAGGTCCTCTGTACAATTCAGTGTTCCTGTAGGCTTCTCTTTCTTTTTGCTCCTTGCCCAGTCTACTATTGGTCTCAGCGACCACCAGTGCCCTCTTGCGCCGCTGACTCTCTATATCTGGAGATCATAAGTACGCATAGGCATATGCGCATGGCACGATCTCTGTCTCTGCAGTTGTCTACTATTATGATCGTGGGTGTTTTTTAGGCTATGAGTATTCTGGTGGTGGCCAGCTGTAGTTTTTAGGGGTGTCTATCCATCGCCTGTCAAGAGCACATCTTGCCAGCTCCCAGTGCTTTCTGGCGTTGACGAAATACCATAAACTCTACATCCTCAGTGCAGGCTACGCAGCTCAACGTTAGCTTAGTGCATGCGGAAGGCTTTCATGGCTAGGGCTTGCTTTCCTTGCTCGAGCACGACGCTAAGGCGGCGCTGCGCCTCTGCACAGCTGCAAGCAGCAAATGGGATAGATGCTTCAGAAGTTTAGTGTTGAGGGGTTACAGTGTATGATTCTTGACGGTTGATATCACGTAATTTTGCCTCAAGGAGTGATAGAGCCTTTGCATCGTTGTATTGTAGCACTTTCTAAAGCCAGTACTGCATGCAGCTGCGTTTATACCTCAATTAGTGCTTAGTTGTATTGATTACTTCTTTCTTTTCCTCTCTTCTGCCTATATTCCCTCTGACGCCCTCTCTGACGCCCTTCCTGGCTCTCCTTGCCTACATGCCTCTTGTTACATCCCCTAGTTGTCAGCTTGGCTGCCCTCGGCTCCCCTGTTGAATGCTTCTCTAAGTCTCCCCCTTTCTACCAAGGTGCCCTTTTGCAAGATGATGAGTTTTCTCCCCTATCCCCGTTTTCCGCCCGTGTTTCTTACCTCTCCCACTGAGCCTCTCTCTCTTTTTCTTTTTTCGAGGCTTCTTCCAAAGCCTTGCGTCTCTCTGCGTTTGCGGCCGCCACCGCTTCTGCGGTCTTAGGTGGATATCCTTTAAATCCATCCTTGTTTCCTGCTAAGCCTGCAAGCCAAAGCCTCCACTACTTCATCAGCCTGTGTCCATCAAGCCAACGTTATCTAAGATTCGTTTTGCCCATTGTATGACAGGAGTTGCTGTGGGAGACAGGGCCGATGGCTTTACTTACTGCCTGTAGGGAGGCGTGGGAGCCACGGGCTCAATGATGTGTCTCCAGTGATAAAGTCTTGCCTTCCCTCAGCCAAGAATGGATCCTGCACAGACCCTGAACCCGTAGGCGTAAGCTGTAAAGGCTACAGGAAGCCATGGTGCCACTTCAAATACAGCGTCCATGATTGATACCAATACACTATAGACTGAAGTGTCAGTGTGTTAGAGCGAGAGAGAAAATGCATAAAGGCCCTCAGAAATTTGCTTCAAGCGTTGAAGGACCAGGTTCCTTGACTCAAAGCCAATGTACATGTAGTTTTATGTCGATTTCTTTCTTTTCAAGTTCTTTGTCCACCACCTTCATCGCCGCGTCTCTCTGGCGCCGTTCTTCTGCCTGAAGTTCACGATACCGACACTGTAAGCTAGCGCACTTTAAAATGCGTGTGGTTTGAAGTACAAGGCCATGCATTTGGAGCCTTTGACAGAACACAGGCTCTATGATATGCAGTGAACCGTTTAGCACAAGGTACTGACGGACAATCTGTTGGTTTCGTCTCGCCATATCAAGCCGGTGTTGCGCCTCAACTTCCATCTAAAGCAAAGCATCAGGCAAACCTCCAAACACCAAACCCAAAAGTAAGAGCTCCATGTGTTTATTCTGACGCAGAAAGCGTTCCTCCGCAGCAACAATCAGCCGAAAGCTGAGAGCAATGCATGCCTTATTTAGCAAGACATGGTACAGGGTCACATGCCATATCCATAAGCCCTAAGCCCCCACCTTCTGGTGATGCATCGCCTCTTGCACTCTGGATGTTTGCACTGCGAATTCCGCATAGTTCCTGAGCACAGGACAAGCCCTTTATCCTAGGCCCCACACCTTGAGCCCCTGGCCTGAGCAACCGATGGGAGTCGCGTTGCAGCTATACAGCAGCTCTTCGGCTTGACATTTTACTGTCAAGGAGATAGGCAGTCCTAATTTGTGTGGCGCACGTGCATCTCTGCTTATCTGCGAGCTCCAGCA